CATTACGCCCGTTCAGTGTACACGTGTTTTGCTGACTTGGAAAAAGCCAATGACCGGATCCCACGCAACAGTCTGTAGTCATGCCTTCGAGCATGCGGGATAGATGACCAACTGCTAAGGGCCATTCAATCACTATATTCTGATAGCAGGTGCTGCGTCAAGGTGTTAAGTTGAAACCATTCAACGTTGACACTGGTCTCCGCCGAGGTTGCGTCCTGACCCCTCTTCTGTTTGTGTTGACATGGATAGAATAGTCAGGAGCAACCAAGGCGATGAGTGTATCGTTGTACGAGATCTGAAGACGAGAACGATGCTGTTTGCAGACGACCTTGTTTTACTGGCATGTTCTGAAACTGCCATGAGCGTGTGAGCTCGTCGAAAACAAAAAGCTTCGTTGCTCCCTTCAGATTGACGGTGAGGCAGTGGGGCAGCTGGAGAAGTTCAAGTACCTCGGAGTCGTATTTACTAGTGATGGAATATTCGAGGAAGAGATCGATCGTGAGATTAGAGTAGCCAGTGGCGTTCTGAGTGAACTAGCCTGAACATTTGTAAGTAAATCGGAGCTGACCGAAGCTTTCTGAGTTCAAGTCGATCTTCATCTCGTTATTCCCTTACGGTAATGAGTCAAGGACAAAAAACGACAAACTTTGATCTCTGCTGCAACTGGTTAAAATGGGCTTTCTGCGACGAGTCGCCGGTCTTACGCGTCTCGACATTGTAGTACAGAAAGCCGCGAGAGCCTTGGTACACAGCTGCTGCTTCATCTGATTGCGAAATCTTAGCTGAAATGCTCATGCATGCGTTGCGAATGTCTCCAGTCAGGGAAACGTATCAACTGCTGCCTGCCCAACCGACGGGCAGAAGGTTCAGGGGAAGGTCAAGATTAACCTGGTGCAAATATATGGAAGGAGTCAACTCTAGACTCCGGTTATCTTCTGCCAAATCTAAGACTCTGACACTGGATTAGGAACGTTGGAAGCACTGTCTGACGCGTCTGCCTCCGCGTGCCGAAATTAGAAAAGGTCATCGATAATGGAGAAGAAGAAGGTAAAATCCGTCATTTGAACGGGAGAGGCGGGGGAATTTCATCGAATTTAGCTTGTCGGCAGGGGGTTTATCACAGTGAAATGTAGGATTATTGAAGATCTTGCTCCCTGCTCGTCAGTCGGTGCTTATTTTAGGTGGAAGTCAGGGTAGAAGTACGTGCCAATTTCAATTGATTATGTCTGAAATTTAAATTGTAACCAGTAACTCGTTCTGCTCGAAGCTTCTTCGGAAGGCGCACTACTTATTTTCAAGGACAGTTAAATTGATTTCTCAAAGAGAAGGAGCAAATTTACTGCTTTAGCGGAACTGAGTTTGGTAACGGGCGGTTCCCGCTTTGAAGTTATCACTCAATTGGGAACCAGAAAAATCCGTGATTCCTGCAACATTGATTCGTGTCAACAGTACGAGAAATCGTTCCAAACTCGATGTACTGGCTGTCATGCAAGCCCGCCTCCCGGAGAAGGAGACGCTTGACCTGCAGGATGGTTGATCATTTTGATAGTTATGCTGCAGTAGATTATGCCGTGCTGGTTTGGGCATGGTCGAGTTCTCTAAGGAAAGCCGGTCGGTGATTTCAGTGAGATAGGTGTTGGAGAAATCCTTGGTCTGTTGCATGAATGTCAAGCAGGCGCCGCTTAATATTCTTTTATCCTACGCCCAGACAAATGCGTAGAGTGACAGCGACAAAGACGCTTTCAGTGATTGCTTGTAGCCGGGTGACAACTTTGTCGCATAAAAAATCACAATTTTCGTCTGTCATTTCAGTACGAAGGTGGGCGCTGTACATCGCCAGGCGTGTACTGCCGTCGCATTATGACAGAAGTCTGTTAAGCTAATAAGCCACAAACAGCTAAATCGTTGGCGAGTCCAATTTTACTCATAGCGTATTCACCTAGCCACTTCGAGGTCCGCCGATGGAAGTTTAAGCACTCAACTGAACCACGTCCTCATCAACCCCGAACGGCACAGCTAGTGACTCGCGTCAATTGTGGCGCCAGTACTGGATCGGCTCTCCACATGGTCGAAGCCGAACTTCGTTTAAAATTAGTCTTGTCGCATATAGGATATCTGGTTAAAACACATCGACTGCTTGATGTCAACATTTTAAAATATGATGATGCGGCACAATCGGTATAGCGAAAGCAGGCTGAGAATTATTTTAATGCCGCCTATAGTGCGTAGTCAGAAATCGACAATGTTGATGAAGCTCACAAAGACTTCAAATAAGGCGTACTTTGGGTCAGGAAGAAAACAAACAAACTAGCCAAGGTTACGGAGAAGGCTCTAGTCCTTAGAGTATAAAGGAATCAGGCAAAGAAGGAATATTGGTAACACGATTCTATTCCAGAAGGCAGCTCATCGCTGCCTTGTTTGTGCAGTCACCTAGAACTACAGTCGGTACGGGAAGCTTTGATTAAAGAGAAAAATCCGTAAAATCGACAGGGCAGCCAAAAAGGTGAGTGGAAAACAGTTATCAAATGAGTCATGGAGTTGTCCAGTAAGCAGAGGTCATTATCCAAGGCATTAAGGCTTTCTCATCATCAGATCAGAAGAAAAGCATCTCAAAATATGGTTTAAGCATTTCTAACAACTGCTAAAACCTGTCCTGCATATTCGTCATTTCCCGCAGGTAGTTCTCGCC